AAAATATTTTATCAGACGTACGTGTTGCTATGAAACGGTAAAGCGAGCTCGCCAGACTCCCTCTTGACCACCCACACACACACACGAACACACGCACGCACGCATACCAAATGTGTTGAAAGCCAAGTAGTGAGTGCGAATGCTTCTAGCTCCTTTAACCCCTTTTTACGGCTGCACTGTAACGTTTGGCCAGTCGGTCGAACCCTGGCCAAGTGATTGCACGTCGACAGCTTTTCTGATTATGCGCCGCACAACCATAAATTTATATTGAAAGACGTGCGTTGTTAATCAAATTAAAGCGTTTGATTAAATTTTAAATACATCACAAAAAGAACACACACACACAGCTGCCAGCAAAAAAATAAAAATAAAATTAATTTCTGAGCACGCGGCGCAATATAAAATTCAATTAAATTTATGAGTGTGAATGCTAATGCTTGCTTACACACATCTGTGTGTGTGTGTAGGCCGCACGCAAATATTAATTAAATTGTTTTTTTATTTGCACAAAAGTTGGCCATAAAGTCGCCCAGTTGACTTGCCATCATTGACCCTCAAAATCCTTTGCACTAAAAACACGCACGAAATTTTTCGCAAAATTTTCAAAACGTGTCACAAACGGTTGGCGAGCATTAAAGACGCTTAGACGCGAGCGCGAGTATCGCTCCGCACAAGTGTTGCATACTTTAAAGCGCTTAACGGCCACTGGATGTTAAATAACAATTTCACTGCTCATTAACCCTAATTTGTATGTAAATTTCGGCTAGCGCGACTTGCCGCATGTGACGTTGGCCAAAAGGGACACGACACACCATTTTGTGAGCTGCCGGTACTACCGCTATTCATGTTGTTGTGTGGCTCCGTTTTAAAAGGATTTTCGTAGCGCCATTTTGTATGCTTTAAGTAACAAACATGACAGGCGGCGCAAGCTATTAAGGCGCACGCCTTTTGTTTTCATTCTTAAATAGTGTATGGCACAAACAAAGTGCCGGAAGTAAAGGCAGAAAACGGTTATGGTTGAGGTAATGGCGAAGTTGCTGATACCATTTTTAATGGTACGAAAACAGCATACAGAATCGCAAAGATAGCCTTACTACAAGTATATAGGTATAAGAGAGTATAAAAATATATAAGTCGCAGAGTAAAATGCAAAGATGCAAGCTAATTGTGGGGGGACCGCACGGGTAGCGAATCCCAGAAAAGAAGTGTGGTCTCTCACAGTGATGTCCTTTTGACTCTTAAAAAATATATTCAGCATTTGTTTACATCCTTTTTATACTATAATAATAAGCAAGAGTTTCAATTCATTTCACAGTGTTAAGTACTATTGAATCAATATTTTTCAAATTATTTTACACATACCCAACCATACACACTCAAGGTAAAAAAGTTGTAATAAGTTGTAATTTTATTAATTAATTATAAATACAGGGCTTTGTATGTACGTATATAAATAAAAGATTACAAATAGCGGAAAACTCACAATGCGAGGTAGAAAAAACAACCTGCTCTTCTGATTTAATTGCATTTAGAGGCCTTTGACATTTAAATGAAGTGGAAACATCTTGCGAATAATATGGAAAATGTTTTAAATAAGGTTTTCAATTTTGTTAAAACAGGAAAGCAGCTCTCCGAAAAGTAAACGCTTATATCTGAGTATCATTTGCTCCTTGTTGCTGCGTCGAAAAATATCGAAAAAGCGGCTGCCAATACGATAAATATATAACCCATAAATAAGTGGTTGGGCACACCAAATTAATCATGCTGGACATTGGATATGGAAAATAAAATATATATGCATAGAAATTGTAAATGAAGTCTGCAAGCAATTATAGAAGGAATTCGGTACATTGCAGTTAGGTTGATTTAGTGAAAACAAATTTAGCATCCTAGCTTTCAGAAATATTGCCATATAATTTTGAGAAGAAATAATCATTAAATATGTATTAATCGAAGTTATAATCCTTCGATTTACTTCGCAGGTCCTATTTGAAGTTCAACGTCAATTGTCAAGTGTCTTCAAGCCATAAATAGCTTCAAGGCATTTATAGATGACTTTAGAATTAATTTTAAGAATTGGAATTTGATTTATAACCGTTTTCTTTGTATTTTTAAAGAACATCCTAGATCGTAGACATTCATTTGTTTCTTCTTTAAAATTTTGCAGTACAATTTTTAACAACTATCTATTATACAAATATTTTTTAGAGAGTCTAACCCTCTTCTAACTGACATTCAAAAAATAAAATTATCACTTGTAGAATATTTACGGGTCGCACATTTTGTAAGCGCCGAAAATAATCCCCTTTGGCGTAGATGTATTTGCCACGCACCTTTTTGTCAACCTTACCTGCATTAATCTGGCCAATTTGGCCAGGCCAAGTGCTCGGCACCACTGTCATCCCCACCCCGAATTGTGCAACAGAGTGCATTGGCTGCCTTGTTTGCTTGCTGCCTGTCCACCATTAATTTATTTGCCGCCAAACAAACAAAAGAATGCAATGAAATGGACTTGTGGCAAGCATTATTGTTTGCTGTTGGTATTGTAGTTGCTGTTGCTGAAGCTGCAGCTCCAGTGCATAAAAGAAATGTGAGCACACAATAACACCCAGATACAAAAACACACACACACACATACATAAGTATGTATGTGCAAATGCACTCAGAGATAGGCGCTCAGCGTTGAGGCGGCACACAACAAACATGCAGTGACAACAGCACTCGGGGCTTTCACCATGCAATGCAAATTCAATGAATTACGACAACGACCATTAATTATATTTTAAATTGCAACGCATACACACATATGAACACACACTGACACACGCTCACATACGCACATGCGTAACTTTCACTGGCAACGAAAAACTTGCACTTATTCAGCAGGCAAATTGTCGCAGTTTATCGCCAAGCGACAATACCAACATCAGCTACATACAACAAAAACAATGGCAGCAACTACAATAACTACAACAACTACTACAACAAAGTTCAGTGCAAAGTGCGCTGAATTGTTGCCCAGCGCAACACACAAACAAATAAAGCGAGTAAGGGAAATACCAAAATGAAAAAATGAATATCTTGTATATGCAAGTATTTAAGGTCTGTTTCATAAATCCAGCTTACATACTACTTAAATATTATTCCTACAATTTCAATACTCTGGGTGGCTGGGAACAGTTGCTCTTTTAAAGGCAATTCTGTGCCGGAATGCTGTGAAAAATTCCGAAGAAATTAACAAAAAATTCCAGAAACTAAACTAGTTTCGAGACAAAACCTTTCCCTAGATCGGTTTGCGAAATATTTCAGCTAATGTTGTTATACTTGTACATTACAAATTACAATTGGGTATACAATATAAAAATTAGAAAAAATGTCCACCTAAATTATGTGAAGGGCCAACCCTATTATATAATATTTTAAAAAGATTGCGCAGCTCTTTAGTTCAGACTAAAAGACAAAGAGCTAATTATTTTGAAAAGTATCATCATGACTAATGCATGATTAAAAAAATATCAAAGTTTTCATTAAATTTAATAACTGTGCAACCAAGAACAGATTTTAAATAAAGATTAAAGATTAATAAACACTATTCTGATAACAGACATAATTCTATTCAAATAAGATTGTGGAACTCTTCAGCTCAGACCAAGAGACAGAGAGATAATTATTTTGAAAAGCATCTTCATAATAAGTACTTATAACTATCGTTCACTTGTGTTAAATAAAAACGAAGTAAACTTAATAAAAGTTGAAGCGATAACTAAAAAAATTTTAAAATTCCCTAATTATGAAATACAAAAAAAAGGAGACAAACTTGATTTATAAATAAATTGAATTCATTATTTTAGTAATATGATATGAAACAAACCTTATAGAAACCAACTTATACAACAGCAATATCTACAATAACAACAACAGCCACTTCAACTTGAAGCAACATCATCCTGGCCATTGTGCGCCATTCGCCGCTTGTTTGCGTCGTTATCAACGCGTAAACAATGGACCAAGGCTGCCCCGGTTGACAATGAAGAATGTCATTAAGGTCCTGGGTATGGTCGCGAACTGGACGCTGATGTGTTAACAGCAGACGTCGCGTCCAACTTTTAATTGGTTTTAAGTCACGAGTTAATTTCCATAAGGAAAAAACACAACAGAAACTATAAAAGCAACCACAACAGGTGCAGCGACAATAACAACAACAAGTGACAAAACAAGGATCAGACCTCTATGAGAATTAAATTCTTAGCAACTCACTAATTAATTTAAGCAATGAAACCAGTATTTGAAGCTTAAAAAATACCAACTTTTTTAGAAATATTGTATTTAAAAGTGTCGAATAAAAACGCCGGACTCAGGTCTTCAACATACAGAACTGCGTTTCTACAAGACAAGTATAGGTCCTCTGTGATGAGAGAAAATCTTTGGTGAAAACGAATGTGTATTCACAGGCTCGTGGATGTCGGCAAATTGTTATTGTGTCGAAATAATTAAGTCCACTTAATAATATTACTTTGAATATAGCAGGAAGATGGAAAAACTTATAAGAAAATAAGCCAATGTAGATATTTCCAGGCTAAATCTTTTGTGCTCCACACAAATGGTAACCCCTTTTTGTATTCGGTGACGAACATGAAAAATTGTAAATGCAAGACTTTCTTAGATTATTTGTAAAACCTTTAATTGTATTGAGAGAAGTGGCAAATGTATTAATTTGTAATTCAAAAGCATACATTTCCAACACTTAATATATATAAGCTTATATATAAGCCTTTAAGATCTAGACGTTTTTTTAATTTTAATTAAATTTTAATTGTATTGTTTTAATTTCTTGCATCTTTTTCTTATAAGCAAGCAGTATTTTAAGTAATAATAATCGGTATTTTATTATTGATTTATTTCTATATTAATATAAATATTGTATGTACAAACAACATTTCGCACATATATTATATAAAGAATTTAATAAGAATATTATTTGTCTATATATAGTATTTTGGCTATTTTTTGCTCTTCCCTCCTCGCCTTCCCTTCTTTGGCTTCTTCTTAAACGGCCCCAGTCCCCGGCGAACCATCGTGCCACGCCACCAGGCCTGCAACCGCACTGCACACTCTATGCGATGCAGCTGCAGATCATGCTGACGCTGCTCCTCATCCTTCTTGGCACGATAGTCTTGCACGAATGCCACACGCTGTTCGTACACCTCACGATGTCGTTCCAGCGATTTTTGCACCTCGATAATGCGAAATTCCCAGGCCTCAGCCTCTCGATCCACGCGTCTCATTTCGCTTGCATATTTTTGCTGCCACTCCCCAATGCGTTGCTGCAACTCCGCCAGTTCTCGACTTCGAAAGGCTTGCAGCTCACCACTCACGCGCTGCTCACGCTCCAGGCGTTGTTTGTAATCAAGAATGTCACGCAAATAGGCGCGCTCAGCATTCTCGCCCCAAATGTCGGCCTGTGTTATGCGCCCCGCCTCCCATCGCTCCACAAGATTATACTCCAAATCATTTACCTTGGACACACAACGCAACTTGTATTTAGACTCAGCAATTCGCTCGTCCTTTGCGTTTAACTCAACGACTCCATCACATTTGACTTGCTCCACTTGTGCCCGCAAGGACTTCAATTCATCGCGTGCCTGTTGCAACTGCAAAGCGGCTTGTGCCTCCTCGCTATTGTTGCAACTCAGTTCTTTAATAGCCTGCTCCAGTATCTCCATTGCTGCCTCCTGCTCCTCTTCATTTTCGGCATACAGATGTGTGGCTGCCAGTTCAAACACATCCCTTAAAGCGTCCAGATCTTTTTGAAATTTGAGCGAATTTAACACTGAATCGTGCAACACTTGCTCGGCAGCTGGCTCGCCCAGTAGAGATTCCAATCGTGGCAGCATTTTTCCAGTCAATAACTGGCGTTCTCCTGATTGTAGGCTCTTTGCGCCACCGCTGCTGCTACTCCGTCGACGCAACGATGCCGGCAGCGCTGGCAACGGCTTCTCCATCTGCATGCGCTGCGAACGCTGCTGGAGTCGCAGTTTATCTTCCGCATCCCTGTAACTAGCCGCCAGTAATGCCTGTTGAAAGGCTTGCAACTGTTCTGAACTGTAACCTTCATAAGTGGGTTGCGACTCCATTACGAGTTTCATCAAAGCACTGCCCGTAGGCTGGCTCTCTACCTGACTGACTGCCTCACGAGTCAACAAAGCGGTGAGCCAATTCCAAACGTTCAATCGTTGGCTCGGCAACTGTTGCCACGGCTAAGCTCACAAACATACTCCTGCCTGCGAGTGTAAGCAAGCTCAGCCACACACAAACTTTGACTTTGGTAGCGTCAATAAGTAGGCTACCATTTTCATGCACACCGCTCAACGCAATGAAATATTCATGCAGCGGCTTTGTCACCATCATCACTGCATTGCTTCCCAACTGCTTCACGAGTCATGACCAGAACGTGTTGCAATGCCAAAATGGTTCTGCACCCATATTGCACCAATACATACAAACCCACAGGAATATTCGCTCACATGCAGAGCCCAGAAATCATTGCCTTTATTTGCCAGCACTCTTTGGACTCTCGTTTCCATTGCTCTTTGAGTTTGTTCATTTATTGCCTTACGCTGCCTGCACAGCATTATGCCTTTGGCTCAGAATAACTCATATCGCCACAGTAGACTATGGCGTTTGGTTTGGTTTGGTTTTAATTCTTAAAATCAATATTATTTGTGAATAACTACATATACACCCAATTCTTTTTTACACGGTAGATTGGTTCCAGAAAAGCTAGTGTAAAAATATTCCATGTAAAAAAGACAATGCTCATATTCAAAAATAGGTCATTTGTGCCTTATCTCTAAAACCTATTAAAATCAGTGAAAAAAGTAAGCCAAATAAAAATGTTGATTTAATAATAGTACAGGATGAGTTTAAATAATAATTAATGCATATCATTAACATCATCATTAAAAAAACTTCAACGAATCCAACTCGGTTCTATTTTAAGGCGAAATGGTGCGCCAACATTTTTTTATTTGTATGCTGCTGTTCGAGCTAACAGTGTTGCCCCATTATCATTTGTAAAAAATATTTGGGAAGTGATTTTTTAGAATGCTTACACAATGAGTCGTCGGTGTGAAAAAACAAAAGCGACAATCGCCATTAAGGCCAAAATTTTCTGTCAAATGATGTTTTGATCATGGCCTTTGCTTTTCAGTGCATACATACATAATTAACAATTTATTTTTTTATTTTCCACAACTACTCTAATGCAATCCCTATACCACGGCATTATTCACTATCATTATTTAAATTAGAGTATGGATACATATTGGAAAAACAACAACTTACAGCTGCAAATCTTTTAGTTTTGGACGACAAATTGCAGACTATTTCTAAACAATTAGAGATAAAATGTATAATGACAACATACTACAACTTTATACATATGTATATTCTATGTATACCGCAAAAATTAAAAATTTTACTTTAAAAATAAGGTTATGTTAGCTTCCTTTTTAGGATAACGGCCTCAAGAGTCTGTAAAAAGTATTGGAGGCAGCTAAACAAGTTACATTCATTTTTTTTCATCATCAAACATCTGAGAAATTTCGTTAGATTGCATTTTCAAATCCGTAATTAAGCCTTCAATTTGCATCAACGCTTTGCAATGACAGTCCGCAATGCCAATAATACAGGTCTGGGGATGAGCAGTTGAATGAAATAAACTCATAAAAGTGAATTACTAGGATTTTGCAAATAAAATTGGATAAGTTAAAACTACTAGAAGTGTAATTACCTTCTTTTTAAATATTGAAATATTTTTCGGCTTGGCATGTGCTGTCAGATATTTTCTATAACGTTCTAATCTTTTCTTCAAAAGCTTCCGCTTTGCCGTGAAGGATTGAGCTGAAAGAAGTAGTTCCATGAACTCCATATAATCACTCCTCTCGTTGAAATTGCAGTCTTTTCCATCAAATCTCTGAAGCAATTCCTCAATATCCGTAAGTGCACGCTCTGCTTTAACCATTATGCAATCATTTTGTTGCAATTCTAGTTCCAGTTTCATCACACAATTCTTGATCATGTTAATTGATTTATGAATTTTCTCAAGCTGAAAAATATAAAATCTTAAATAATTGGTTACCTCTATATATGTACTCTATTTATTCTTCAAATTATGTATTTTTTATATCCCTTCATTGAGTTAATTTCTAGAAAACTAAAAAAATATAGACCACCTAGCACCATATTACTTCGATGGGTAATGAAAGCTAGTATTTGTATGTTAAAGTATATTAAAAGGTAAATTTGAAAATTAACAAAAAGTGGCTCATGCTTCTAAAAAATCTTGCGATTGATTAAATTTTATTTCGTCGTCAGCATAGAACATGAATGCATACTACAACGTATTTCTTTAAAAATATTTTCGCTTGTTAATTACTTGTTTATTACTAAATTTCTCTGTGTAATTGGTTTTACACTAAATATGACAAAGGTGAAGAATTATTTTCCATATACCAACAACTTACACAACTTGTTTGGGTAAGCATGTACAATAAGTTAGAAATCGATATAAAGAACATAAAACAAACTTTTAACAACATAATTTTAAAACTAATCCAACATGCCTTTTATTTGTATATTACCTATATATTATGCTTTAAAAAACACCAAATATAACACTAATTAAAGTTGAAATGAAAAATTGAAATTTGTGCAACAACTTTAAGCCCCTTTTTGAGCTCGAATATCCAAGCATGCTTCTAAATGCGTACATCAAAGCATGCTCTTACCGCTTAGGTTGATTTCCAAGTCAGTCAGATCACACTTTTTTATATGTATATACGGAGTAAAAATGGGCGTGGTTGTGGATTTTAGAAGAGAGATCAATATCGGTCCATGATTCGGTGGTCGGCATACCTTGAAGACCTCCCGAAATAGTGGTTTTTCGACAGGTTTAAGAAGATGGAGAAGCAAGTATCAAGTGTCAAGTGTATCAAGTGTATCAAGCCAAAAGGAAACTATAAATCGCCACTGTTCCATATTGCTCATTTTTCTTTTGTAGGCTACGTACAAGTACTTATCGGACCACCCTTGTGTACTAAGCTTACATTTTGTTTAGTTAGCATTAAATTTTGTTCCTTCTCAATCACGTATTGTAGTTTGGTCTGATAATCCGCTTCCAACTCTTTCGTATCACGCAGCAACATGCTTGATATCAGGTCCAGGTATGAAAACGATATAGATGCAGATATAGAAATATTACCAAATTCAGACATTATTACTAAAAAGATTTTGTTTATATCCAAATACGAAATTATATTCCGCTTGTTTGTCTTCAATGGCAGGGCCTACTTCGAAGTTCATTCAAAGCATGCCGGTAATAGTCAGATGCAAAAGTAATTGTCCCCATATTTCATTGTTTATCTCAGCATTTAGCACATTTCTCTTCGAGTTTTAAGGAAGTCAATTTATTATTGAAACCAAACCATGTTTCAATTAAATTTATGAATACCATCTATCTTAAATAAAAGGGTTAAGTGAGTAACACTTGTATAGCAATTTTCAGGTATATGAATGATGTCAAAATTCTTATATACTGTACTGTCTGTGACAGTACTTCGCCTTTCCACCGTCGTGCCCTGCATTGGCTTATATGTTTAACCCAATAAATGCAGCGCTGATTGCAAGTTAAATTATTGGTGCAAAAGACGCCAGACCCGCATTACAATTAAATTATCGCATTAACCGCAAACCTACAGCGACATCGTACTCTCCACTTTGCCACCAGCATGCCCACAGCGACAGAGAGAGCAGGCAGCAGAAAGCAACAACTACAGCAGCAACAGCAACAACTGTAGCAGCAACAGCAACAACTACAGCAGCAACAGCAGCTTGAAAAAGGAAGAATTTCAGCCGCAGTGGTCAATGCACTTGCGTCTGCCTGCTCGGGTTTCGTTTGGCTTTGATACGCAATTCGCAACGAGTCTGTGAAAAATTGTACAGCGAACATTTATTTAATGCCAGAATATGGACACACGCACACATACACACTTAAGTACGTTTAAATGTAGATATGTGCATGTGTGTGCTTGAGCAGCAGTTCGCACTTGCCCTGGCACTGGCACTGGCCTGGACTTTTTCTGGTGTCCTTTTCAGCGCCATTATTTTTAATAGACTCGAAGAAAAAGTTTTCAGTTTTCTGCTTCATTGACTGCAAATCGGCCAAAGACGCGCGCTGGAGCCACTCCTCCTCGTTCCTTTGCGCCCTCGTCCCTCATCTTTGGCACTGTAGTCGTTGGCAGCCAAAATTAAGTGCGCCAAAAAGTATGCTGCTCAACGACTGATAAGCAGCCACAGTCCACACACACTCACAAGCCCACACACACACACACACACACACAGTACATACAGACGCACTGCTCGGGAATTGCTGCATAAAATTATACACATAAATCCACAAGTGCACAAAAAATGGTGCGAGTCAAAAATTTGCACAATTTTCTACAATTTTCCATGTCGTCTTTTTTATCAGTTATGAAAACTTCTGTGATTCCTGACTGGCCGCACTTCACGCCTAACGTTTTCTCTTGCTATAAAAAGGCTGTCAAGGGCTTGCCTATCTCCATAATAAATAATAAACATCGATCGAAATGTCAAAGCTTTGAAAAGCATTTGCAGCAATTCCCAGCTACTTAATATACACAAGCACAAATCAATCAGTCTCTGTACCAGACTGTGTATATTTACTTTCATGTGCTGTATATGCACGCAGTACATACTAAAGTATAGTATGTAGATAGATATGTACACTCGCAAACATGCATATACATACATATATACGAATGTAGACATTTATGTGTAACGCCAGAGAGCTGCCGAAGTGGCAACCTCTGCATGTCAACAGCACTTTTCTATGAAATATGAATTTATAGTATCTTTAGCATTTGCCAGCAAATCGACAAACGTTTAGAGCTTGCAACGAAAGTCGAGTTGAAATTTTTGCCATCACTTGGCAACAAGTTCATTTGGCAAAGCACGAATTACAGAGAAGCGTACAATAGGTATTTCATAGGGATTTTTTCAGCAAGACAACAAATTATTGGGCTAGTTAAAATAAAGGACAGGTATATACTATTCTCATCAAATTTAAAACTCTTCACATACAAAGCATTTATGCGATATTGTATCATATCCTTTCACCACAGTTTATGTTCGACTAACACTTATTTTGGAATGCATATAATACAATAAGTGGCATTTAAGGTCAGCATTTACTGATAGTTATATTTTATATTTTATATTTTTATATGATAGTTATATATTAGTTCCTAGTGCGATAGGAAAAAACCTTTAAATTAGTGCACTAGTCACAAAACAAAATTTTCTTGGATAAAATTAATATTTTAATTATAAAATTATTAAAAGTTAAATTTTATTATTATTATACACACATTTAAAGTTGATTGGTTCCTTTTATAATCGTTATGGCTAGTACATAAGTGTTGCCTACTGAATGTAAATGTATAGATTTAGTGTTAGTGCTATGCTTTTTACTTTATTCTCTTGAAAGTGTGCTTGAATTCTAGTTCTAAAATGCGGTTGACAGCTGATTGCTCTATATCTTAAACAAACTATATTATAAGTTCTTCTAAAGTAAATGAGATTTTGTCATACAGATAACTCGACTCTTTTTAAATAATGGTTCTTGATCCAACATTAAGGGTCAGGCTTAAAATTGTGTTAGCGTATGCGGTTATGGAGTCTCTTCCTTTAATACCAGAGACATACTGTTCAAGCTTAACAAACAGTCCACATAAAACCAAATCAAATAACCCTAATGCCAGTGCATTATTATTATACCGAAGTATTAGATCTGTGCAATGTATGTAACATAAAGTTATAAAGTTATATATATTCTTAACCAGCAATATCGGTTCAAATCCACCATATCCGTCATGCTGGAGATGACAACTCCTCTAATCCCTAAACAAAATGAATCTATTTAATTATCATATCGCTTTAACTGTCCATAGTTTCAAAACTACACAAACAAAGCTTTGCAAACTTAATTTCTGTGTAGTTCTCTGCTATTATTTCACATCTGGTTATAAAGCAATTTATTGTGGGTTTGTTGTTTTTCAACAACATTTCATTGACCATATCATTTCTGCATTTCTACTTGTATTAAAGAGGGGGAATTACCAAGCCCTTAAAAATATGGATACGTAGGCTTCTCATTTTACTTAAAGGCTTACCTTATTTGTATGCTTCATAATCGACCCCATTGTATTAAATTGTCGACGCTCATGTGACACTCAAAGTGCTCCCACAAGTACCCTCTCCACCCGCACAAATATCCGATTTAGTATATATACATATATGTAAGCGCCCACCGTTTCCATTTTCACTATAAATAACCGAAAATTTTATATTGTGGGTCGCAACCACGAGACCATTACAACGCCGGCATATGCCAAGCCAAGTTGAATCCAGAGCCGAGAAAGAGAAGCGGCGCTACGGGCTCGGTGGTCAGCAGTATCCGTCGCCACTGTCGCCGCCACCATTGCCGCGCGATAGTGGCAAAGCTCATGTTGTTGTTGTCGACTGTGCCGGTGGTTATGGTGGCGGTGGTGGTGCTGGTGAGTGTGCGAATATGTCAGTGTGTTGTTGTCTGCGGCCGTCGAGTGATAGACGCTCCCATTAATTCACATTCAGGTGCCGCACGCTTGGCTGCACAAACACCGAGTATGTACTTCTGTCCCTATGTACTCGTGCACAGAGGAAAAATTTGAATGGCAAGTTGACGGATTAGGACCGTTTCAAACCTAAGAATAAATCACTCTCAAATTTAAAATCAACTTACAATACACATGCGTTGTTTTACAATTTATTTTAAAGATACACTCTGTTTTAAGGAACTTGAATTGTATTAAAACGGTCTATTGTTGACTTTTTCGAGACCTAAAAAGTACCACCGCTTGTACTTCATTGTTTTTTTGAGTGTAGGCATGTGAGTGCGTGTGCGTGTGTGAATGTGTGCGACAACAACATGTGTTTTCACTCGTCCCTAGTCGAGGGGGTTACTGGTCGTTGGGTTCATCCTATTCATCCCTTTTGCCCGGTGGTCGGTCAATTGCTGCGGTCGCTCGTGCAGGCAAATCTCGTGCAATGCATGATAAATGCTGCGGAAAAAGGAAAAAAAAATTGGAAGAAAAAACTAAAAATTCCCTTGCAACTGACCCACTTGCGTGTGTAATTAGTGCGGCAGCACCTGGAGGTAAAACAACAACAGGCGAAGCTCATGAAGCGCAAAATCGAAAGTTACTCGACGCTCAATGCGTGCCACGTTGAGCAGCTAAGGCCTCAAAAATGAAGCAGCTTGAAACAAAAACGCCTAAAATCAATAATAAAAACATGCTTGCCTTCGTTGTTGGCATTGCCTCCCCAACGTGTGGTTCCCGCACCTGGCAACCAACCACCAACGGCGAAGGTAAGGGGAAGGCATAAATTCCCATGACAACGGGACCAAATAAACAAATACCAATATCTCACACACACACACACAACTGGTGGTACTTGCTCGCATTTCTTTCGATTTATTCAAATAAAGCTGCTTCAAAAATAGCACACACTGTCTCATTAAATGTCTATGTGTGTGTACGACTGCGTGTATGTGTGTGCGCGTGTGTACAGTCGAAGTAAGTATGTCAATAGTGGTGCAGTCCTTTGCCAATTGGCCAACGAAGCAGTCACTTTTAGTTGACCAGACAAAGGCTTAACAAAGAAATGTATCCGCAGGCCGAGCTTGAGAATTATAAACTGCAGGTGGAACTGTTGCAGGAGAAGCTGCAGCGGAGGTGAGTGTGGAACATGCAATCCCAACACAATTGGCCATTTCCAATATTCTATCTGGATTTGCAGCGAAGACAACCGCCAGCAACTGGAGCACAAGCTGGACAAAGTCTTGCAAAAACGTACTGAGCTGTAAGTAACATGGAATGGCATTTACATGCATATATCAAGTTACATTTGGATTTTCAGTTTTTGCAAAGTCACAAGTGAATCGAAATAAGAAGAAATTCCATTTCACGAAATTCTTTCTCAGATAGCCAAAAAAAAAAAAGAAGCAAAAAATTGAAGCAAACATTATCAAATTTAAATGAATTCTAGGAATATTTTTAGTTCCATGTTCCGAGTTTGTAAAAATATGCCACGAATTGTGACTTTTACTCGTATACCAAGTTTTATTTTTAACAAAATCGTGATACAATATCTTTGAAACAAATACTAATAGTTTTAAGAATAAATTTTATTTTAGTATTAGTTTTATTTTTTATTATTTTTATTAGTTTTATTTTTAACAAAGGCGTGATACTAGTCACGTAATAATAATCGTGATATCTTTGAAACAAATACTAATAGTTTTGAAATTAATTGTATTCACTTTCCTTAAAACATTATGTATTTACGAGGGAGGTAAAGATATCTAGCAATATACAAAGTTTAACAAGAATTCAGTGTGAAGCAAGAGAAATTATACCAAAAAAAGCGTAAAGCTTAAAGACTTAAACTTGAAATCTATGCATACATCTATTATTGGATCTAGTGCTTAGCTGAGCAACCATTGCAGCAACTAATTAAATACTAATAATAGTCAAGTAGGTAATGATAATCGTGATATTTATGTCTTATATCTTTGGAACAAATACTAATAGTTTTTAAATTAATCTTATTAATGCGTATCGCTTCCCAATTGAACAAAATGAAGACATATATAGTATAAAAAATTCAACAACAATTCACAGTGTTAAGCAGGAAAAATTATACAAAAAAAAAAAAAACTATAAAAGCTTAAAGACTTAAGTTTTTAATTATTTATAAATTAAATATTCTTTTTATGTATACTTCTATTGTTGAATCTTATGTTTAGGCGAGCAATCCTTTCTGCAGCTAATTAAATACAAATATGATGACAATAGTACATCTTTAAATACGTATAGTACTTGTATATCAGATCACAGTTCAAAATAAAGCACTTTTCGATTACCTCTACTACTAACTACCAAAGGATTTTATCATTACGCAATGAACGTCGCGTTAAATGCTTTAAAAACAAGCAAACTATTTTAAGTAGTTTAATTTGAAGAATGACTATTTTTGTAATTATTTTCCTTTCCATCGTAGCGAAAAGTCCTCCCGCCACAAGACTCGACAAAAGTATCAGGAATTTCTGGAGGAGCAGACAAAACGCAATGAACGCAACAAGAAGCTGGTGCACATGCTCGAGCGAATTGATGAGCAAACCGCAGCGATGTCACAACGCAGTGAGCGCCTCAAAATGATGAAGGTAGGCGAACGCGAACAATACGCCGTCTCCATAGTTCCAATCATGGTCACATGTGGCTTTAATCAATGTTTCCATGCCTTTTCAGCTCCAGTATCAAATGTACTTTGCGAAATTGGTGCAAAATCAAACGTTGCGCTGCATACAGCAGACGGCTACAGCACCAACAGGACCAGGGGCGATGACACCCATACCTGTATTGGTGCCGCCGGTGACAGCATCCACAATACCTATGCCACATATCACAGCAGTACCAACTACATTGCAACAACAGCAGCAGCAACAACAACAACAACAACAGCAGCAGCAGCAGCCACAACAAAGTCTTTTTGTGAGCAATCCAACACCAGAGCTCCAGACCTTGGCCTCAGCAGGCTTGCCAGCTCAGCAATGGACTTTCGCCATGGCCACGCCCACACCCGCTGGCATGGTATTGACGACGCCCAGAGGTGCCGCTGACTTTATGCAGTTTGCTGCTCCGACTGCGACCGTTCAACAACCTTTGTACATGCCACTTTCGGAGTTCGCACGCCCGAATGCCAATCTATACGACCTGCGCGCCACGTTGCGTGCCTTCGACAATGAGAACGCTGATTTGCCGCCTCGCATAACGCATGGCCATCAAGCATTGGCGACTACCTCCGCGCCTGCCTTTACTCTGGCTGCCGGCATGCAGCAAGGTGTCGATGACTTGGAGAACATGGCGGAGCTGACAGGTGAATATCAGGCATCGCCAACAACAACAACAGCAACATCAGGAACAGCAGCAACAACAACGGCATCAACTGCCAGAGACAAAAGTTTGCCAGAGCTGAGCAGCACATCAAGCACACGGGCAACATCCTCGTTGACATTTGATAAATTGCCAAAGGCGGAGCTGCCCGATGATGCCGAAGCTGTCGCAGCTGATGATGTGGGCCAACCGCAAGTGCTGCGAAGCAGCAACAATAACAATAACAACAGCAGCAGCAACGGGCCAAATTCACGCGTGACTAAAGCCGAGCATGAAAAATTGTCAAGCATCGCTGCTGTCAATAATGAGCCTGAGTCATCGATGTCGATTTCGATGTCGGCGCCCAGCGAGGGGCCGCACAAATTTGAAGCATACTTTTCACAGCTGAAAATCGATGAGCCTTGGCAGCCAGCAACGACAACAAAGGGATTGGACTTGGGCTTGGGATTGGGATTAGGGCAGGAGTGGGGACAATCGCACATTGAGGAGAATCCGCTCGCAGGTGGGCGAACAGGTGAGGTGACAGATATTTCCCCCCACTTCGATGCAAACTTGCTAGACGAAATCAAAGCAAGTCGTGACGCCCTGGAAAAAGCATCGGCTGCGGTTGATGAGCAGCTTGCCCGGAGTAATCAATTGTCGCCACCAACAGCAACAACAACAGCAACAACAATAGCTATGCGTGCTGAAAACTTTGCTGCTGAGCCGCCAATAACGACGACGATGATGAGTAAGCCCGGCATGTCGCTGGAGAATATTGAAAATGCCATTTACGGTGAACGTCTGACAACAACTGCAACAACAGCAATAGCACCAACAATAACTACAACAACAACGGATGTGGCGCAGGGTCTATTCGAGAATTTGGTAACAAAGCAAGAGGTAAAGCCAATTGAAGAGTTCCCACCTGAGCAGCCACCCCCAACGCATGCCGATGTAAGTCATATTGATTTTGGCCAATACGACAACAACAACAGCAACATTAGCGAGCCCAGCTATGCGAGTATAGATAGCGGACACCAACAAAAACAGCAGCAGCAGCAGCAAGAGCCGATTTACAGCGAAATCGGAAATCCCACAGACTATCAGCAATATGCGACGGACGCAACAGAGGCGGCAGCGGCACAAGCAACAACAGCAGGTATGGCGACAGATGGCATGCAACAGGACTATTCCAATATTGATTATAGCAACTACGACGCCACTGAGTATGCAGCAGCTGGCTATGATCCCAATGCATATCCCGGCTATATTTACGACGAGGCCAGCGGTCAATACATTGCCGATCCCAATGCGCCACAATATGAGGCCGATGGCAGATACGCTGGACAGGAATATGATGCTGCAGCCGCAACCGCAAACTACGACTATAATGCCTATGCCGAACAGGTGTCGACGGAGCAGCCGGCTGAGGGCTACAGTGCCGGAGCTGCAACAACAACAGCATACGCTGAAGAAGGCAGTAATAATGCCGAACTGGAAGCCGAGTCAATGGCAGCGACAACCCTGGCCAGCGATGCCCCGCCTGCTGAAGTTGGCGCTGTTGTTGCCAAGCCTGTCAAACCTACATCGATACTTGCGACGACAGACAAACAAGCGGCGCCTAATGATGCACAGCAGCAACAGCAGAAGAAGAAGAAGCGCGTTAATTTCGTTGACAGCAGCGAAACGGATGAGAGCTCAAGCGCGAAACCAGCACAGGGTGTTCTGGGTAACCAAACTGCAAAAACACCAGCAACAACAGCCACAACAACAAGCACACCAGCGGCACCTTCAGCGCCAACAGTAGGGGGCAGCGAGAGTGATTTCGATTTTTCAACAGGCAGCGAGGCGAAGAATTAGAACAAGCACGAAAACAGTTGAGCTCTAATTTGCTGCTATTTGGGTTAAGCGAACGACCGCTTTCAATTTATTGCCAATGCTCAAGTGCATTTCTCAATCTCTCTCTCTGTCTCTCTCCTTCCTCTCACTAGTTTTTTTCCCCGCCCTTTTGTGTTTGTCTGTTTGCAACTCTATCTATGAAATATAAAGTTTGCCTTCCGGTACGCGATTTTTTGTAAAAGCTGTTGCATGCTTTTGGGCGCACATTTAAATCGACAGAATCTTCTGCATTTGCTCCCATTCCGAAAACAACCTTCAGTTCTGCAATTGCAGTATTTTGTTTGAATTGTAAATACAGTTTATGATATTTTTCGGGCGGCCAATTACTGTTTCTACGCATAATTTTTTAATTTAATTTAATTAAATTCAATAAATATGGAATAGCGTTCAAAAAATCGGAAAAGGTCCCAATAAAGCTAATGCTAGTGAGTGTGTAAAGAGCCTTCTCTATAATTACAGCAGCTATTTTTCGAAACAAGCATCTAACTCGCACGACTCTGATAAAAATGTATGAAAAACTGTTGTAATAGCGTGTGGACTGTCCAGAACAAATGAATAATTTGTAATACTGATCATTTAAAACGCCTACAAATAAAAAACAAACTAAAAAACATTGTTATACATACTTTACTGTTTACCTACTATCTTAGCGTTCATTACAATGAAGTTCATTGAAATGAAGTCTCTGTGCAAAGTTCCATCAAGATTAGAATTGTGATTAAAACAGATGGACGTATGAAAGGATCAATGTAATTGTACCTATATTATATGCTCTACCATTCATCCTTTTGGGTAATATAATCATAATATATCCTCAATTTTTTTAGAGAAAGGTATAAAATCAAACCGTTGAACAACTTCGAATGATGTTGATGATGAGCGGAAAGGATGTGGACCACGAAATTTTTTTTCTAGGCAAAGAAAATCAATAAGGGGAATCATATTTCTTTCTAATTTCCATTTCTTACATCCCTGATGAATGCCACAACATAGAATGTTGTGCTAAAAAACTTTGATTACAATATTATATTCTTGGGCCATTGAAATATGTACATATATAGTATACAAAATTATGTGGCAAAAGTACATTATACAAGTATATAACTCAATGAATTCCATTTTATACGCTTTAAAATACGAACATAAATTAATAATAAAATCTGCACAGCTAAAATAGGACGCAATAAAAATTTAAGGACTGTAGACAAACTCGCCACCACATTTACAATTTTTGAAGTGCGTAGTGCTATACATATATGTAATTTGGTGGAGCCTTTGATGCTCGCCTCAAAACAAGACGGTATTATCAAGATTTATTTCTGGCAAAAATAACCGCTTCTGCTTCTAAAAATAGTTAGAATTCCAAAAAAAAATTAATTCGCATCAGGTATGGGACTATAGTTTTGTGTGTCATACACAGTTAAATCAAGGCAACAACTACAACAACAGATAATGCCAAAGCATGGCTGAAGATTACATTTTTAATCTTGAGAGTAATATTCAAATATCCACCAAATTACGAGGAATTGTGGAAAGACACTAATAGCGGGTGAGTGTAGAAATATAGGGGGAGTCAGAGAAATAACACAAACTCGTCCTTCTTAAGGAGTATATGCCATGTTTGATTTTTCTCATTCATACAGAAAAACGGACTCTACTCATCTGGTTATACTGCAGAGTATAGTTTAATATACTCGCTGTATATAGTGTGTACTACTTTTTGCTATTGAGTACAGGGTTTAATAACAAATTAATATTAAACCACCAACAATTCTTCCATATAACTCGAACTCGAATTTTTTTTGTAGTAGCTGTTGACAGACATTCTATCAACTTCAAACTAATTAAAGGTATTTCTGACTGTGAGTTTTATTTTTCCAGCTGCGCGTGTTTATTTTTTATATTTATTTTTTTGCTTATCCATATTATTGCACCGCCCGTGCTCAATAACACTAATTAAGTATGGCAGGTGGCAAAAATGTATGTTAAAGCATGACAGCCAGTTCAGGCCACATATAGACACGCGTGCACACACTTGGGCGCCTGTCTGGCCAACAATTGCTGACTTAATTGAAAATTTTGCACCAAAAAAAGAGGGAATAAAAAATATATTACCTTATGCTTGTATGAATATATATAAGTACATATATATTTACATATACTCGTATACATTCATACGTAGATGCATTCACATATTTTGCTTTTCGCAATTTTAATTTCATTCCCACTTATGTAAAATTCTGCACGCATTTTTTTTCATTTTCCCATTTTTTCGATTAACAGCTGGTCAACAACTGTGGCTGACAGTTTTCCATCAATTTAAGCAGAGCAGAAAATCAGCAGGAGCAGCACCTCAATGCATTTTCCACTCACAATGGTCGTGCAATCCGAATATTCCTCATTGGCAGCTCATCATCAGCTCAACCAGATCAGAGACCATCACCACCATCATCATCATCATCATCACAGCTGGACAGCTGAGCATTTTCTGTGCATTTTTTCTGCCTCACTATTGCTGTAGTTGCTGCTGCATTTCCTGCCAACATTGGCAGTGTTTTTTTTTTAAACAAAACATTTTTTATTGCATTGTGCATGTATTTAATTTTTTTATTGCTGGCCGCAAGGCGCACGCGATATCCATTTTATTTACGCAAATTTTAATTACACTTCGAACCGATCCCCTACAACTTACACACTCCATTTGCTAATTTATATTAATTTTTGTGCATTTCGTATTTTTTAAACAGAAACAACAACAGCTGCTAATGTATTGCAAGTATGTACAATTAAATTGTAATTAATTCATTTAATTGCTCTGTCACAATGTCAACGCACACTTCAAATGGCAAATCAAATGTCAATCAATTCTTGTGGTCATACACAAAATAACAACAAACTGCCAACAATAAATAACATTAAACTTGCATATGGTTTTTGTTGATATTTCAATTTTTTGTCATATGAATGAATTTGTTGATTAAAGACTTTAAGATAGTGTTAAATAAAAATAGCAATGAACTACGAATATTTTTGGGTGAAGCTTAAATAGTATTCCAGTAATATTGAAAATTAAACTAAGTATTTAAAGCATTCACATAATATTTTGCCCACAAGAAAGACAGCATGAATACACTTTTCAATTATTGTAGCCAGAGCCATAAGTTTCTTCAGCAAATAAACTAACTTTCCAACAACCTATATATTGTAGATCAGATCACAATATTTAGTCCAAGAACATTTGCAAAACGTGTTAAAAAAAAAAGATAAACTTTTATTGCAAACTTTGCGAAGCAGACTCCTGAATATTAATCTTTTACTGCTGGGTTAGCCAGCCACAGACCTTGGTGCTTGGCTAAGCTTACTAAGGTTAGGTTAATATAATTGAGCGCCCTTGATAGTTCCACTTAGATCGATATTGCTTGTTAATGTTGCTAGTAATTGGATATACATTTTCAGAGCGTATTTGAAAACACCAGCAGTGCGTTGGGGAGTGTTGTGCCGCCTGCTTCAGTGAGTCGTTAAGGTACTTTTCACTAGATGTTTGTTGTAAATGCCTATCCAGAATCTGCATACCTCTATCTAAAGTGCTTGGTATTATATTCCTCCACAAGTTAATTTATCGGTGCCTTGCAAAACATCACGAATTTATTTTCCCTGGCTTATCAAAAGGTGTATAGCTGATAAAGCATTGCACAATGCTCTTCCACCTGCTCTCAACCGAACTCTTTCCAGCTACCTTGAGCTGTACTTCAAACATAGCTGGCCCGAAGGCAATTAAAATTCACCCCATTACATAAATCCAACACCTTCGTACTCATCGACTATTACAACCTTTTATAAAGGTGTAATACAATTTATAATTATAACTATTTATTTAACTTGAACAACAGTAGGGCGCTTCTTCTTTGATAACTCTTGCCATTGGCCTCAAATTTGACCAATAATTGAAAACAAATTGCCGCAATGCTTCTCGGTTGGCCAAATGCTTCACTCCTCAGTGGCCGGCTCCCTGCAACGTTTTACTTTTTAATGAGTTGAACATTATTTTCAGGCCCGAAATGTACCGAAAGGCAGCCAACGCAAACTTTTTCCAACAGAATTTGCAATTAAATGCTACACACAAACCTCAAAGGCAAATAACAGAAAAATACAATAAAAATGAAAATTAAATGGGCCAACAATGGAATACCCGGGCCCCAATGAAGAAATGCAGACAAATTTTTGGCGTGTCATTTCAATTGAAATATTTGCATTGAGGGTACAGACGCACACACACACACACACACACACATAGATAGGCCAAAAGGTTTTAAATTTGAGCTAATGACACAGAATTGAAGCTGGAGAGCGAGACATTTATTTTGAAATGTTTTCGGGCAGCCAAGCTCAGTTTTCGTCGCTGTCGATGTTTTTTGAAATATAAGCCAAAGCAACAGAATGAAAGCCCAAATATTGAAAAAATATTTATATAGGTATGTACATATGGTGGATGCTGCGCACAATATCAACAACAACAACAACAATAATAATAATCAACAACAACAACGATGAGTGGCAGCTGAAATATGAAATCGATTTGGCTGACAATTTGCGAAAGGTACAAAACCATATGCATAAATAAAATTATAAAGCACGTCGCTTTTGCGATTGAAAGGCGAAATTATATAGATATTGTTCACACACACATACACAAACAGCAGAATGCAAAAATAAATTGCAAAGCAAATCAAAACGAAGCGTTGAAGGAGAACCGGCACAGGTAGAAAGAGCTCGAATAAGAAAAGGATTATAGCCACTTTACCCATGGCGTGCATAATTGAGTGCCGTTTATTTATGCACCCCTCGTAAGAGGGCAACCAGGCAGCCATCAAGCAAGCAACTGAACAACCAATCCCCCCAGCATGTTCACAATGAACGAATGAGCGAGCATCGGGAATAACAAAGAGCCCTAAAGCTCAAGG